CTTATTTACCATTTGAACGAATTCAATCGCCTGACTCAAGTGAGGGACACCACAACCGATCCTCTGTCTAGCAACGTTACTCGAACTCCACCCTCTGTTGCCAGTGCACAAGTCCCATGTCTCGTAGTGGTTAGATGAGGGGTGAAGGTTTTGTTTTGACAATGTGGTCAGGTGATGAAGACGTTGGTTACCTTATTCGCCTTGGTGGCCATTGGACCTTCAAAGGGATTGTCTTTCAGAAAGGATAGAGAGTGGGCGGGGAACCACTGATTTCACATGTCACTTCATCTCAATGTCTGCTGTGTATTCGACCTTTTGAACAGGCACTACAGTCAAGCAGGTCAATTATAACGGTCGCAATGATATACTATCGAGACCGGAAGCCAAACTTTTTTATTAGAGCTGCATATCTTCTTTATACTTCCTTTTAGGCCACAGAGTAGCTTTTGGGCTTGAGAAAGTTAATATGGTGTATAATTCTTGGGTGTTCATGGGGATGCACTGGAGAGTGTAAGGCAAATCGTCGGCATCCTCACCTCAAATCTTGCGGGACCACACTTGTGTTGTTTTATCCTAATGTATATCCTCCTTTTTTATTCACCAAATCTTTCCATTTTCCCTCCACGTCTTCGTCAACCCGAGGTCTTTTATCCAAATGTCGCATCTAAAACGAGGAAGGGTAGTGGATGGACGTGACTGACCGGTCTTCTCTGTATTGTTGCTTCTGATTTTAAGTTTAAAAATGCCATACTTGAAGTTGCATCGACATTCACGTTCTCCTTTTGCATCTTTTGGTTCCTCTTCCACCAAACTATAGTATCTGCTGTGGAATATATCGGTATTTATGAATTTAGTCTTCATTACGAGATAGAAAGAGGGAGGGCAAAGTTGATTTGAAGGTGGATCCATTTCTTCTCTTCACGGTCTTGCCATTGTCTTAGAAACTTAATTTTCTTTTATCTAAATGGGTCTATTCTTTTGAGTCATAGTGAACTGGTAATAATTGATGAAAATCTTAGTGCGTTGATGAGGTGCAGTTCTACCAATTTCTGTGGTGGCTACTCTAGGTTTCGGATCCCTTCTCTGGCGTTCTTCTGAAGGCCTTCTTCGAGAGACTAGTTGGATGTATTGAGGGCCACTAAGTCAGACAGGTAGGGCAATATGTGAGCGTTTTATTGTGATCTCTGCTAGTCGTCTTCACATTCTCTCAAAACAGCGTCTGAAGTTAATTTTCGCTTTCCTCATGTAAGACACATTCTAAACACTCCTAAATTTTTTCCCCTCAAAATATTTTATCCGAGAGTTCGTGCTTGCAGCTAACTATTGCTAAGATTGCTTTGTCTATCATCCACGTATTGTGCCGTTGACGCTACTCCTTCGCGTCCCGTGTGATATGAACCGAATGATACAGGCAGTTGTGCTTACGTAAAGGAGACGAAAGAAACATTAAAAAGGCCTTTTTGGGTCTCGTCTCGACTCTTACCTTTTCATACTATGTAATGTTACTGGGTTATCAGCTTCATACCCTCCTGATTTCTTTCTCTATGAACCGATACCGGCTTGAATTATTTTAGTATGCTTAGTAAGGGTTCATTTACTATTCGACAAACTCTTGTTCTTGTCGTTCTGCCTTCTTATTAGAATGTCGGTGCTGCCATTACTAATGCAAGGAATACTCAATGAAAGAGGTGAAAAGGTGTTTGGTTTAACGCAAAGACGTCCATTGAACTGGGACCCATAGTGACCTCTTACAAGATCAAGCAGCAGTGGTGATGAACAGACTGGTGAGGTGGAATGACACATTGGTGGAGAGGCTGGGAAATCTGCAAGCTACAAAATGATTAATGGTACGGGGAGGGATGACACGCAAAATCCAGCTTCCTAATATTTCATTTTCTGCGGTCCTCATTAGTCCGTTACTTCATGGACGTCTGCTTTTGCTGAAGCCTTTTTCTTGATAGGAAGTTCTGCTGACTTCTTCATTATTTTCTGGTAATATAAATCCTTCCATCCTGGATGACACTTGGCAAAACCAATCGTCCAAATAAATGGCACAACAATCGATGATTTTCGAACTTCAGAAGTCGCTTAATTGCTGTAACTGCTTAGACTTTTCTCGCATAATGTTGTTGAACTGTAGGAACTCGAGGTGTTTTACGGCATCATCAAATCGTTGGGCCTTATAACCTCCACTATTTGTTTTCTCTCCCATACAGCATGTCTGCCGGAAGTTAGAAACATTTTATTCCAATGTTATCACGGCTTAGTAATTACAATTCGTTAATGAAGTTGCATCCAACTTTCTATTTCTGGTTCTAATGGCGCTTAGACTTGACTCGCGACGACTTAGTAGCCAATTTGGTCTAAGTATTTTGAGATTTTGAAATAATTGGAATCGAATGTCTTACCTCATTGGCTCGGCCTAAATCGGGCACCAGCTGAAGGCACCTCCTCTGATATGCAGGGGATATACATGATTGAGTGTGTAGTTTCACTTTTCTCTGAGTATCTAAAGCTCATTTCAAGAGGCAATGCAAATTCTAACTTCATTTAGAATAGAATTGATATTTTTACCTTCACCGAAGGTAGAGGCTCGCAAACATATCCTAAGGAGTGCCTGAGAGATGAAGGTGATTCTCAAGCCCTGTTCTTCATAACTAGGGTGCCTTAGTCCACTTTTTTCTACCGTTGTTTTGGATGCCTGACTCGAATATGTCGTGTTAAGAATAAAAGTACAGGTGGGTGCAAAAAGAAATGCACATGGTGCTGATCTGTACAGCTTTTCTATTGCATGATCACATCTATGAGGGGTGTCTACGCTTCAATCTCGGCTGTTTAATGAATAAACAAATGGGGCGTGTTTACACTAACTCACCTCCATGCCTGTGTCAGTCTCTCCTTAATCCACTCGAATGTTTGCCGCCTCGCCGATATGCGCATTTGTCTAATTGGTTTTGAAGCTCCTCAACCCTTCTATTGTTAGAGTTTAATTTCGATTCTGCATAAATGAAGTAGAGTTGTGTGCTCGTGCTATGGTCAAGTAATTTCGGAATAAATGGTTGAGATTAGGGCACCAGAACAATTTCCCAGCTCGATGAAATCATGATTTTTGCAGCAAATGACTGTTAGGCCACGATTAACATGCCAAACACATCTGCTTTGAAGTAATTTAGTTTATTTAGCACTTCTAACATGGAATACAGTTTGGGTAGGCATTTATTGTTTACGCTGCAGCAGATCATTGTCGTGACAATGACTTAAGTTTAATTTGCTTGACTTATCCATTAGTTGAGTGGGTTGGTAGGTGTGTGGTGGATCATTGTGTCTCGAAGGTGCACATCCACGTGCATGATCGCCCACGTGCTTGATAATCAGTTTAGTGAGAGATAAGTGAATCGTTTGATCAATGGGTGGACAGATACTTGCATGTCCAGGTAAGGTTTTGGAAAGGAAGATGGCTGGGAGCCGGGAAAGTAGATGGGTGAGTGCGTAACTAAGTGGATTGAAAATTTACCCAGACTTGATGAATTGGTCCTAGAGTGTGTGAACAGTCCATTGAATGGCAGAATTAACTACTTGATGTATACGGAACTGAATTTGTGAATGGACGAACGTCTGGACGAAGTGATTAATAATAGACATCAACTTGAATAAGATAATTGTGTGATTTGTGTAGATAGTAGATGGTGTGGGAGACAAGGGGTGAATTAGTTCGTTAAGTTTTTCGATTTAAAATCTGCCGCCCCATTGGCCTTTCGCTAATAGCTCGTGTTCTTTTCAGTGCAGGTCATGGTTCTAGAGTCACGTCACAAAAGGTCGCGTCTAAGCTTAGTAAAAACACCAGTATAGTTTTAGCCCAACCGTCACCGTCACTACGTCCCAGCTAATTGGCGGTTGTTCCGCACAATGAGTCTTACAGGTGTAGGTGGCGTCTAGTGCCTTCCATATTATCACCCTGTGATCTTGATTTGAAATGCAACTTCCTTTCCACTGGCACCTTTTATCAGGCATTTGTTCTTCACAAACTTTTGATTAAGTCCATATTGCTAGGATTCGGCTGTGGTTCTTGCAGTTTTGGGTGAATGTTGTACTTTGAAGTGTCCAACTTTGGCTTGAAAGGGTTCATTGACTCCATTCCCCCCTTTTTGTCGGAGAAAAACAAATAATACCAAATTCTAAAAATATTTTCTTTGGAATTTTGTACAGCATTTGTGTTTGGAATGGGAAAAAATGACATGCAGAATGGATAGCTGATTGGTTGAACAATCGGGTTGATAGCTCAATGGTCGGATTAGCAGACAAGTGTCAGATAAGCGGACGGCCCAGTTAAATGGTCGTACGAATGGTGAGACGAAGAGATAAGGGGATCACTGCATGAAAGAATGAATAGAAGTACAGGTAGCTGGTTTAATGGGCCTTCGGATTAACGAATGCTTGAACGACTTGCTGAAAATGGCCAGGTGAATATGTGAATGAGTTGATGGGTGGCGTATACTCCTCTAGCTCATTATTACATTTTTCCCTTCCAGTGCAATGCTTCTCCGATGGAAGCTGAGGTAGCGGTGTGTACCCGAGGGGAGTATCAATCGCACCAACGGGCGCGTGAGACAGCACTAGCCAGTGGGGCAGCGGTGCAGCCGCTAGTTGGTGTGCGCCCACGCCACCGCCTCCTCCTTCGCCAACTTACATCCGACGATTTGACCCGTCTGCAAAATCGCAACCCCAACATAGGGTCCTCGTCAATGTCCCCTTCAAGTCTTCCCCTCGGTCTCCACCTCATCGTGCCATTCGACTGGGGTTTGCAGCCCTCATCTTATACCGCCATCGACTACCGTAATGTCATATTCCTCGGTGAGTGCAGAAATATTTGATTCCATGCATATCATGCATTTGCCCTTGGCGTTTGACTTGCTGTCTACCATCATCTCAGACACTCAGCTCATTCCGGTTCTGGATGCGTTTGGGAAGTCGCCAAATTTACGCATGAAAAGTTTATAAACGGCAAATATGATCTTTTAAATCCACGAAATTTATCTTAATAAATCTCATTCATATTTTATACTTTCAAAATGACCATCAGTATTTACCTTTTCCTTCACCACACGTATTTACCCCATCCAGCACGATTCCATGAAACTTCCACAAAAAGCACAACGGCGGTAGTGCAGTAATGGAATTGGCTTTAGCTCTAAGTGTTGCACACCATTGAGGGGAAAGAAATGACTGTACTATTAGAACAATGACCATAACCGCCCCTCCATCCATCCTCACATTCCTCTAACGTTGAAACATATGGACGGAACAAAAGTGCTTTTCAAGAATGTGTGAGAACTAAGAAGAACAGTTTTAGTTTAGCGGCAAATTAAGGGGCGCTCAATACTCTTGTGAGAACTTGAAGACTTCATTCTACTGGGGTTAGGGAAGGTTATTATATCTACCCCGATTTCCAAATCAGTACCTTTTTAGTTGTCAGCTTGACATCGCTATCTGTATGTTTGTGCAAGGTTTTATGTTGGTCTCCTCCTTTCATGAACCTCTCAGTTGAGGTAAATGTGAAACTCTTCATTTGCAGTTTGCCGACAAAGAGGTCGATGGATGCTTTCATGTCTGGGAAATTGATTGACTTACAATGGTTTTACAGACCTCTTCTGAAGATTGGTAGTTACCCCATACACGGCTAGACACTAAAAAATACTTTCTGCTTTAACACCTATTTCACAGTTAGTAAGGAACAAGAGGCGAAATAAGACAACCGATAATGTGGGTCATATTTCACCTGCCTTTGGTACATTTTCCGCAACTACTTAGCTGGCAATCCAGCAGCACAAGAAGACAGGTCGGTTTGTACAATGCAACAAAACAATCTAGGTGCCCTTGTGCTAAAACAAGGGAACCCAAGAACTGGGACATTTGGAAAGCTCTCCACTACGGTGACTAAGTAGCGACAGATGCCCACTCACAACGGAACGACTTTGTTCCCAGTTTAACTAGCTTAACACTCACTTTTCTATGCAAAATACACCAATAGGTGAAGAATGGCAATAATTTTGATGTCAGTCGAGCTAACGACGTTGGGGGATGGCTTGTCCGTTCACATGGAAGAAACTGACACATGGAAGATGGCATGCATAGCGGACATTGGGATGAAGTGACATGTGAAATCAGTAGTTCCCCTCCCACTCTCTATCCTTTCTGAAAGACAATCCCTTTGGAGGTCCAATGGCCACCAAGGCGAATAAGGTAACCAACGTCTTCATCACCTGACCACATTGTCAAAACAAAACCTTCACCCCTCATCGAACCACTACGAGACATGGAACTTGTGCACTGGCAACAGAAGGTGGAGTTTGAGTAACGTTGCTAGACAGCGGATCGGTTGTGGTGTCCCTCACTTGAGTCAGGCGATTGAATTCGTTCAAATGGTAAATAAGGCAAGACAGACCAAGTGAGGCATTGGAGGCGATGAAAGTGAACGGACGCACGCCTCTTAATCCGCAGTCCGCACTTTGGTGGACTTGGAGAAGCAACACACAGTGGGAATCGGCGTCCATGCTAGATTGGAGTGAACAATGCGCAATCACTTCACAGAGGCAAATAACCGACTGTGAGGTGTTTTGTTGGTTGATGAGAAGGGAGTGGAGATAGCAGTGCAACTGCAATACACTGGTATTTCGGCATGCCTGTGCAAGACGAAGTGTTGAGTAGTGGAGGCAATGCAACATCAATGACGGTAGCACACCTGTGCGCTCCTCAACTCTGAGTGCTAAATCAGTTTGTTTGTGTGATGCAACGAAGGCATGTGTGAAGTGTGGAGAGGTGATGGGTCACATGGTGAATTGAGCATGACGAAGTGGATGTGTGATTGGAAAGTGGGAGAAGGGCATGTGATGTTGACTGATGTAGCCGTGAATGGAGTGAGGAGGAGATAGTGGGGTGGGGGAGGTGGAGGGCGAAGGTTCACAGTGGACCGTGGAGACTGCAGACAACGCAGCATGTACTTGCAGTGACATGTAGAGCCTGTAGACGGGCTGATCGCCACCAAATTGTTCGCGTGCATTGGGTACACAGCAAGTGCTCATCACTTGCCCACCTTGAGGCAATTCGCGTTGCTTCAGCCTATTGGTTCATCGTATCTATTGTCGGTGTGTGAGGGGGTGGGTGTGTGAGCGGGTGGGTGTGTGTGTGTGTGGAGGGAGGGAGTGGATGAGTACTTGAATGAGTGGGTGTTGAGGGTGTTTGCGTATGGGTGAGTGCGTAATGGGTAGAGGTGAGAAGGGTAGAATGCTCTCCACCTGCTGGCATGCGGACTTCACTTCCACACCCAACATTGTCCGTTCTGTTCGAGGGAGAGGTCTTTCACTCACGCGGACACGAGCAGGCAGTGTGTTGAAGGTGGCGATATTACTACGTGGCATCTCGCAACACCTATTCACCACCGAGCAGTGAGGAGGAAATGGAATGCGGTTTCGTCTACGTTGGTGATGGTATACAATGTATGAGATCAAAATTGTTCCACGTTTCCGTTTGGTGGGGCTACCACATGCGCTGCCAAAAAACGCGTCTCAAGCATACACAGTGACTCATGGAAAGGAAAGGCAAGTGGGTGTCGCGTTGGGTTGCGTGACTTTGGCTTGCCCTTTGGTCGCTGTGGTTGCGTTTAGGAGGTCTGCTCACTACACCACCACACACACACACATGGTGGCGGAAATGGGTTTGCCTTGGTCATGCCTCCCACACATCACACTACAGTCGGTGCACGCACACAGAGCTGGTGTTCGGTGGGGGCACAAATTGCGTGCACTCCCTCATTGCCACCGAAGCCACGATGCGCAGGCACTCGCACACACATTGTGCTCACACTAGCACTTGTTACGGAGGCTATAGTCCTTCATCTCGTCCTCCACTCCGACGCCAAACACACCCAGAAATGGTCTCAGGTAGTCGGGGTGTGTTAGTGATGTCGCGTTTGTGTTGAGTGAGTGTGCGGAGGATGTGAGCAATTTGTCCGATTGAACATCACTGTTCTGGTGGTGATTGACGGGTTCGGTGAAGAATTTGAGGAAGGGAGAAATGCGTCATTCTACTTCTCCCCGTAGTCACGTTCGCCTTCATTGTGAGGTGTGTCGAAACTGGTGTGGCAGCAGTATGTCGTGTTGCCGAAATGCTTCTGAGTGGTTTGGTCAGACGGTTGGCCTGTTTGTCAGTTGTGTGAGTCTGTGTGATGCGGTAAGGAGGCGAGGCAAGGCGAGGTGAGACGAGGTTTGAATGGGCACGCATGCATGTCGTTGTGGTTTTAATATGCGAGTGTGATGAGGTGTTGAGTTCTGGTTGCAGGTGTGGGCTATGAATTAGGGAAGTAAGGGAGATGATAGGTGTGTTCTGATTTGGTGGGTGACTGGGTGGTATTTTGTACGCTAATCTGCTCGAGCTCTTTCGTTCTACGCTGCTGGACGTATGAAATCGAGGAACAGGTGGGCTGGTTAACATATGCTTTTTAAGGGTTTGAAGGCTAAGCCTCAGGCCATTTATTAGTTGTGACTTTTTTCTTGGTAGGGAACGGTTTAGAATTGCCTGTTACTTAGTTGTTTAGACAAGTGGAGCATTAGGGAGGAAGTGTGGATGCGAGTGATTGTTTCAGGGAGGTTGATCTTCGTATGCATATTTGACGTTTGCTTTAATGTGCTATTTTTTGTTTGTTTTTTGTTCTGCTTATGTAACTTCTACGTGTCATCTTAATTAAATGGATGGGCAAGAGAAAAGGTTATTCTTTGATTGTCCTTTTAACGTGCACGCATGTTGTTATATGCTAATTAGCCGTCACACTTTATAATAACTTGACAGCGACTAAAATAGTTCAAGAAGTTAGAGATCATAAATAGTGTTTTTTGACTTCACAAAGTTCTAACAAGTCTACTCTAAAATTTGGCTAGCCCTCTGTTAAGATGGAAAATGGTTAGAGACGGTCTCCGACCTACGTAAATTCGGTCGCTCTCCCCATTCTCCCTCTTTTTCATACCCAATTTGATGAACCTCTAAGATAAAAGTTGTGAAGGGGTAACAGGCTAATAACGAAATCGAGTTAGAATGTTGCAAGGCTTTCAAGACACGCGGTCGCCTTCATCTCGCTTCCACCCATTTCAACAGTGTTGTGGTAGTTATTTTATGCAGTGTTGGTGTGTGGGCATGTGGCTTTTTGCTACATCAGTGCTAAAACTTGTTTATGTGGTCCACGGACTTATGCATCATCACTGTTAAGGATGCCATTTTGGCTGTATTGTGCCACGTTGTTGTCGAAATCTTTACATGGCAAGAGGCATTTCACACTTCCTTGGCACTTCGAGGGCAGCATCCTCCCTGCCATTTGTTCATTAAAAATGCTATAAAATGGTAGATTTGTGCTGTTTAAAATTTAATTTTTCATTCCTAGAGGGGAAATTTTTGGACAGGTTGAATGTACTATTTTGAGGTGAAAAGTTATCTTGCACTTACACTCTCTACAGCAGTAAAAGAGATTTGGTTAGGCTACCTCTCTCTCCTTTGCCCCGTGTGTACGCGGGTTATTAAATGATTAGCTTTCCTTTCAAGCGATAGCAAGTTTGGCTTCCTCAAACCTCTGCATCAGCCGTTGAATGGCCTCTTTGGCATCACTTTTTGTGACGGGAACGCAAAACCGCCACCAACACTGAGTCAAAAAAGTGAACGACATTCTGCAGCGTACTGAGTAGCTTTAGAATTGAAAAGGTGCCAAATATTCTGAAAAAAAGTTTTTTTTATATTATTATTCTCGATCGTCAAACATTTCCACTGTTTCTGGGCTGCGTTTTTCAGCTTTTTATTATCGTTTTGTAGGTCTTGCCAAAGTCTCCCTCCCCCCCCATTAAAATATCATTCTTGAAATTTTGCACTACGGTCCAAAGTTGAGGCTTTTAGCATGCATGCACGTCAAGTGCGCCGCTCAAGCAATGGGACAATCGCGTACCTCCACACACTCCGAAAGTCATTCGAAATTGTTAATGCGGCAGACTGTGGATCGAATTCATTGTAGACTCAGTGGTAATGCAGTTAATTTTTGAAGCAACTCCATTCTTTTGTACGTCAGTCTAAACGCAACCAGAACAACAGGTTGTCGTGTCATTTGTAAGGTGAATGCTTCAATGTGGCAAGCTGCTCTGTTGTCTATTCATAAGGTGGTGCACAGCGGCTGATACGATCCGACTGAACAAGTGAAGCTGGGACGATCACTTTCTGCAACAGCATAACTGTCAGCTCAGCCTGACTCGTTGTTGCGATCCTTGAATATACTCTAATAGATTCTGTGAAGAGTGCAATTTTTTGCTTCTATAGTCAGCTTTTTTTCACATGTTTACCGTACTTTCTCTTGGAATCAGTGAAAGCGAGGTAATGTAGTCACGATTCGTACCTGATCATGCCTTTTGATCGCTTCCGTCTGGCATTTTGACCATCTGAGCAGTCACATTCATACATAACCACTTTAATTCGGTGAAAATTAAAGCCTACGTTAAAAAGAATTATTTTCTTTAATGTGATGGAGTTTGTACCGATAGAAAATGAGTGCAGACAGTAGGAATCCACGACTATCGGTATGTGTACTTGATAGAAAGGTTAATCTCTGCAAGACTTAAAATATTTGTTTTGGATTGATGGATTTAGTGCTCGTCGACTGTCACCTCTCGCCACGACCACGAGTGATAGCATTCAATTTAATTTGATAAAAATTGTAAATACCTCAAAATGGCCTTAGTTCCATTGCTGCGCACCGTCAAGGTACTCCTGTGCTAGTTGGTGACAGCAAGTATCCAGCGACTTAATTCGTCATCTTGCAGGTTATAGTGGCAAATGTATTGTAAGGAAACCTTACTAAGCTGTCCGCAAATTTCTTTCGTTACTGAAAGTTTTTGGAGGCGATTGAAGTGCCTAATTTGCCCACTACCACTATAGGCAAGTCCTACCCATCCTGAAGAGTGGATTTAACTTTGAGCTTCATGAAGTGCCTTTCCAACTGTTGTGTTACTGACCTTTGCACTGCGCTTCCATATTATAGGACTATCGTCTAAATTACCGATTCCTTTACTCACTTTCAGATGCCATTGAATCCGTATCCGGAATCGGTAGTCACTGGATCCGTCTCGATCATTACACGGGGTCACGTGCACAGCGGATTGCCAGCGACCGTTTAGAATCATTCTTTTCTTTCTACTCCTCATCCACTAGCTGTAACGAGGCTTACCTGTGCTTCGAGAGCACAGAGACACGAAATGCCTGGATTACCGCAATCCGATCCGCCTTAGATGCGGAACAGGCGCGTCTAAGGCTTGGTTATTCAGTTCCTAGCGGCAATAACGGCATTACCGGCAGTGCAAATGGTACCGCCATACCCATAGAAATGTCTGTCGGTCGAAAGTGGAACTTTGAGGGGCGGCCTTTGGATGGAGACTCAGTACGAAGTTCCCTCCAACGTGTATGTTAAATTTTTTTCTCGTTTTGATTATCATGAATGAAAATGTAAGGGAGGAATAAATGAAGAGGTCAGTGAAGAGCTAGAAAAATTGGTTACAGATGATTTAATCATTGCTTGAATCTGTGGTGAAGGATTGTTAATGAATATGTGATTAGACAGAGGAGAGGCAAAAGAGGAGAAGGTCATGAAAGGGCCATAGAATGACTGACGGGGGTTGACGAATGGATGAACTGGAAAGTGGGTGGCTAGGTGGGAGGGGTTTAGGTGACTCAACTTTTCGTAAATCCATCAAAGCTTGATTGATAGGCACTTTCTACGGAATCCCTAATGGCAAGATCATTTTTCCCCAATCGTTAGAAGGCTATTGACATTGCTGAGTAAACGGGGAATGAATCAGAGGTGGACAGATGGCCAAACGACCAAGTAATGGAGGCAAAGGCGCAATTACTAATTAGCTGTGCATGTGCAACTACCTCCATTATGTGCGCTTTGCTTAGCAAGTAGCCAATGATTAAGTGATACTCCCTTAAAGTGATTTGCCTCATCACTTATTGGTTCTTTTAGTTTTCTCAAGAAAACGAATTATTTGTCAGTCACCAACGGCAACAAAATCGTCTCAACCTCCTGTCAGTTTGTCCTGATGTTCAGGTGAGTTTCAGGATATTACACGTTCAACTTTCTGTCCAGTGAATAAAAAAGACAACTTATAAGGGGTGAGCTAGGCAAGTTGCAATGAACTTTGAAGTCTGATCGCCTTAATTTCGATGTGTCAACAAATTTTGACTTGGGTTGTTGATAGTGACGATTTATTGGCTGGTTATTGAAGGCGTAATATAAAAAAGCCGAGATCAAAGGTTAACTGAATGTTGTTTCAATCCTTGAGGGCAACATAGGTAATTTTTTTGTCAGAAAAAGCAATCCATTGCAAAATAATTTAGGAGATCCTAATCACAAGTTTATCTCCAAGCCAATGTACGCAGCCAATTTGCGGATCAAGAATTTACAATTCCTTATCGACTTGGATGGTAACGATATTGACACCTTTGAGTTTTGTAATTCAAAGTTATATCCCTGACATTTTGTCGATTGACAATAGGTATGAGCTATGGAGATGAGAGCTTGGATGATATGATTGGAGCTGTTAGTAGACTTAAACATCATGTCGTATTACGCATTGACAGTTGTTTTGTGTGCTATTCCTGGTTTTCTCGGTGACTAGTTAAAAATGTTCGTCGATTGGCCCGAAATTACCTTCTTCAAGTGGTAGCAGCGCAAATTTGTAGATGTGAGCACAATTCTCAGTTGGGCGTTCTGTGTAGTATTTTTGAAAATCCTAAACTTAACGTTTTAATTTACGCCCACGAACTAGCCATAGGACTACCAGCTCTTGAGGTGTGTCCAGAGAACCTTTAGCCTTCATTATGATCACCATATCTTTGTGTGCCCATTGTAAGGTATGAAGGCAACGTTTTTTTTTTAATTTCTGCTTTTAGATTCCATACAACAGTCAACCGTCAAGCGAGTGTGTGCGTCGTCGACATCAGACAGCTGATCTGTTGGAGAGTATGGAAAATTCTACTCTGGAGGGATCGCCAAGTCTGCGGAAGCTGTTACCTGAGTGTGCGCGTAACGAGAGTAAGCGCCATTTCTTGGTCACCTGTCTGTCTCTCAAGACAGGACTTCGTGCTTCCATTGAAGATGCTTCTGGGGCCTGGGAAATTGATAACGTACGTTCCTTACCTTCTCCCTTGAACTGTGAAGGAACAAATATTGTCTCTTGACGCTTTGCATAGTGAGCATGTGGATTAAGTCTTTTATCGACATTCTCTGGATAGATTTCCCGAGTGTTAGCCTTTAGCTTACCTTTTTGAATAGACACTATCATTGGTAGCAATTAAGTGATCCATCAGAGTAAATATCCTTCTCATTATCTCCTCATGTTCTTTAATTGCTTTAAAGTACTTCACAGACATGCTAGTGTGTATTCCTGCCTTTCAAACTGACGCCTTTCGATGTGTGACCAAAGTATATTTTGGCGATGTGTGGGCATTGAAGTGATCAGCTAAACCTCACCACGAAGGCATGTTACTCATTTGTACACCATGCAGCCTTGACAATTATGCCATGTATTGCCCAGCAGCTCAATACTTAGTCCATAATGTTTAACTTTGTCAGCGTTAATGGAATTTGTGACAGAACTTGTCCAGAAATAACAGTAATTTTTTACCTGTCCAACCAGAAGTGCACGGCGCGCTATAGAAAAAAAAACAGTCCCAGCCACCGAATGCCATCTTTATGCCTTGTAACAGGTTTAAAGTCACTCCTAACATAGACCTGTGCCTTTCTAATTTCCCTCTCTTTTTTTCCTATAGCCGGAACCGTTTTTTGTCTCCTTCTTCCTTGCCAGCACAGCTGACAGCGGTACCCGTCTATCGGAAGATTTTTGCTGGAATCCCAATTCCCCCCTAGTTGAGACCATGTTCCCTCCGGAGATCTTCCGTCGTCTACCCTGGCATACTGCCGACGCCTCTTCTACTTCTACCCATCATCAGCCTGTCAATTACCAACCGGGCGGGAAAACAATGGCTCCACCTCCACCCATACCCCTCAATCCTCACGGTTCCCGCACCCCCATGCCTTCAAAGTTGGCCAAGTGTCGATCTGTTAGCATAACGTTTTATTACCCTTTCAACTATTGAAGTAGATATTGCTGTTTCTCCTCCTCGCTACAGGCGCTTCTTTCAATTGACCCTGCTATTCGTGCCAACAACCTCTTCCTTGTATTCCGTGTGGACAAAGTACTTGTGGGTGGGATTAGTCAGGCCGCCGAAAAGTACATGAAGGCTGCGGGTGGTCCTATGGACGCTGGAAACGCTCCCACCTCAAGTGACCTCAAATCGGGTGCTGCGTTGCACAAATCCATGCAGTCTTACTGCAAACTCCTTGGTCGCTATCGCATGCCCTTCGCTTGGGGTGCCAGGTCAGTAATCATTTCTAGTTTTGTATGAGATGTCTGTTTGGCTAGTTTGATTATGTGGTCTTTTGCATGTTTGCAGATGGTTGTTTTCGAAAGAAACACAGGTGCCTCTCTTCAAAATGGATTCTTCGAAAATTTCTGAATCCTCCCTCCTTCAATCGGTGCGTCAGTTGGCACGACTTCTGACCCTATCCAAAGAAACGTCGTCATCTGAGATGGCAACGAGGATGGGGAAAATGGAAGTGGTCTTGCCATTAACTCCAGCAATGCTGGAGACTCTGGAAAAGTCGATAAAAACAGAGGTGTTACCGATGCAACTGCATGCGGCAGTGAATGAGATCTCAAACGAGGTTGTCTCTCACCATTTACTTGGTCTTGTGTCCTCGCAACTGGCGTCATTACCGTCAAAGCAGGAGGCACCTAGTGGTAGTGGAGTGGAGAAAGCGGGAACTATCAACCTTCTCCATGTCAATGACTTTTCTCCCGAGGAAGTGGTGAAGGAGGTGGAGGTGTTTGTCTCGCGAAAAGTTCGTGCTATTGCGGGACGAAACACATATGGAGCTCTTGATCAAGGTTTGTTCAATGTTTTGAGAAATCTGATTTTATCCTGCTTTATTTCAACTTTTCAATTCTTGCCTTTAGTCTCTTCGCTCGTGTTCGTTAACCATTTGTTAAACTTAAGTCGTTTGTGTTAGATTTTCTCCTACGCAGTGTATGTTGGGGAAACATGTGGAGATCCTTAAGTATTGCGTTTGTATGATCCCTGTTTTCCTTGTCTCATCAGTTTCATTCGACAGTAGCAGCGGCTATAACAGTGCACGCAGCGGCTTCCTCTTCGGCGATAACAAACGCGACTCCATGTCTTCTCTTCGTTCTGATGCATCGACCACTTCCGCATCTTCTGGTGTGTCAAACGGATGCGCCACTAGTGCCACGGGAGCTGATCTAGGGTCAAGTAGTCGTTTCCACCGCTTCTCCGCCGTCCTCTCTAAGAATACGTCTCTTGAGCGCGGCAGTCTCGTCAGTAGTGGTACTCATGACGGAACTGGTAATGAAGGGGGAACTGTTTCCGCAGCCGTTGCCGCGGTGGAGGAGGCAGAGGCTTTGTTTAGTCAGCCTCCACTCTCGTTGATTGATCCCTATCGCAGTTTCGTGCATACTCTCTACGTGTATCCGCGATCTCTCAACATGTCCATCAAACACTCCTTTGGAAGGGTAAGTTTTGTGCGGTTAAGAATATAGTCACTTTGTTTAAATCAGTAGCAGTGGTCGCCTTGCTCAAGCCATTTTTATTCACGTGTCACATTAAAACTGTAAATATTTTACCCCAAGTTGATAGTTGAACGCAAACTGTAAATAGTTTACTATCCAAGGCGCGGAATCTATGCTGCTTTATGGAGATGCGAGAGAGTGACGCTGCAGACGCGAAACCACTGAAGGTCTTCTACACTCGTCCTTCCCTAATCCAACCGGCCTTCGATACATGGTTCAACACTGCTGTAGTGCATCACGACTCCTCGCCCACCTTCATTGATGAGGTAAGCTACAAATTACCCTCTTTTCAGAATTTTTTTGGCTGAAAAGACCTTTTTTGCTAGTTATGCATGCGAATTGCTTTGTTCATTCAACTCTCATACTGCAGGCAAAGGTGTGTCTTCCAATGGTGCTGACTCGGCGGCATCACCTACTCTTCCGTTTCTATCATGTGCGCTGTGATCTAACTGCTAACTCGGCTGAGAAGAATGCCGCTGCGAAAAAGGCTCTCGAATCGCCTACAGGCTTTGCCTGGGTTCCCATCCTCAACGAAGATGGCAGGTGAATTTGAAATTTAACACCTCATTTCTTTTAATTATTGTTAAAAGGGTAACGGGTAATTGAACGTTTTGGCTTTATACTAATGTTTTAGTTCAAATTGGCAATGGATATGAAGTTTTGTTAACTTCTTGAATC